CGCCGTTTTACCAACAGGCTGTTTGTTTACACCCCCCCACCAGCTTCCTGTGGCGCTTCCTACGTCACAGTCAGCTGCTCTCATTGGTCAGAGCGTTGGCCAATAGGCACAGACATGGTTTGAAAAACAACGGGTTGTTCTCATCAACAATCTTCTGATGTCTCATTCATCGGGGTCAGACTAGATTACACATTTAATCTCACATTTAGTCTGGATTATCAGGCTATAATTTCCCCACCTTTGGAAAATAAAGGGAGGTTCTATTCTATGTAGTGTATATCTGCATTTTATTCAGTAATGTCTTTAAAGCTGTGATGCCTTCATGTAGTTCGCCCTCCAGCCCTGATGTCAGCAGGGCTGGAGGGCCCTGCTGACATCAGGGCCCTCCAAAAATACGCCGCACAGCGCTGAGGCATCCTTCTTCTGTTCTGCTTAAAGAATCAGGTTGGGAAGCAGGTCGACCTCCCCAAGATGGCGCCCTTAGTTCCTGCACTGAAAGTCAATGCAGGGTCTACTCTTACATATGTGTGTTGTTCACAGGTCAGCTAACCAGTCCATGCAGCTAGCTGGACTCAGAGGCTAACTGAGGTAGCTCTATGCTAAAGCTCAGCGCCCCCTACAGGAGGCCTGAATTAAAGCGGAGGGAAGCGCTTACATCTGAGACTTGGCTGCTTGTCGCTGGGCTTTCCGCTCCTTCCGCTTCTGGTCGGGCGGTTTGGCGAAAACGATTTCTATGGGCTCCCCCTCCAGCTGCCGGCCGTTCATCTCCTCCAGAGCCTGCAGGCAGAGCAGAGCTTCAGCCGACGGCCGAGCAGAGAGACCAGGGCTGACCTGAGCCCGGCCTCCGTACCTTCACCGCTCCGTCACGCTCCTCAAAGTGGATGAAGGCGTAGTCTTTCAGCTTCTTCACTCGCTCCAGCTTCCCAAACTGGCTGAAGGACTTCTCCAGGATCTCCTCTGTGACGCCGTTGGCCAGGTTCCTCACGAATAGGACCTTCACCTGCACAGAGAAGTTTGGACTGTCAGTCCGTCCGCTGAGTTTCACTCCACATCTGGATTCACGCTCATTAAAACCCAACAAGGTTAAAGCAGGGGGCGGTTCTGGCCATGTGGGCCGCTACCAGGTCCAGCTGGAAGAACTCAACTTTCCAGGAATCTGCCTGGATACAGGCCTGTGACCTTTTTAAAGGTCGCAGCTACAGCGTTTCCATCAAAACCATCCAGAGAAACAAACGTGGATAAAATAAATATGGCCGTTTTTTTATTGAAGAACATCAAAGGATCATAGTGGAGGACGTGGATCGTCTCAATCACTGGTTCTAACTGTCAATCATTCTGGTGAGATGGTTCTGTGAGGCCGTCCTTCGTGCTCGTCACCATTTTCACTGACCGCTGGTGAATCTGACATGGTGGAAAAACTGCAAATCTTCTTTTGGAAAGTGAGCTTGTCTGAGCGATGCAAAGAGCAGCTTTAAAACAGAGCGTGCACGAGAGGAAATGGGCTCGTGCACGCTCTCGCACGCGTTTAATAGGCGGGAGTGGGTACATGTATGTGCATACGCATTTTTTTTAAAACGAAAACGGGAACCATCAGCTTGTAGTGGCAGAGGGAACAGCTCACTGACGCGTGTCTACCCGGGTCAAACGACTTGGGACGGCGACCCGCGTTAAAATCACCTCGGCTCTGATCGGATTGCTGTGGGAACACCAGAGCCAGTCAACCCGCTAAATTACGTGATACCACTGAACGCAGCGGACGGACGCCATCCACCGCGCCAGTCGCTTCTGATCTAACAAGCAGAAACACGATAAACATGGAGCAGCTCTGGTGAGAACGATTCAGACAGATAATAGAGAGAAACAGTAACACTCACTGACTACGCCCTATCTTCCTTCCCTGCTGCTCTCCATTGTTCACTTCCCCGATTTCTGTCACACTGATGACATCATCAATGCTAATCCAGTGTGATGACGTCACCAGACATGCAGCCGCAGGGGCAGAGGCCAGGCAGCTGCCAGCGGGGGCTTAGACCAGCTTAAGGCGGATTGTTGGCTGATGGACCCATGTTTGATAAACCCGGGTTCTCAGTAGGAAAGCAGCTATTGGTTCTAATCGCTGCGTATTTGCTGTGCTGTTTGAAGCTGATCATTTGCCCGTGTTGCTAACGTAGCACTTTTTGTCTAAGATTCTAGCGACCCTTTTCCTGTGTAAATGGAGACTTTGGCGAAGGAAAAGCGGACTGAGGCGGATGAATGGATTAACAGGTTTTTCTGCCATTTAGGCAACAGAACCTCCAGCTGTGGATGGATTTTCTTCCCACCTTGGCCATGACCTCTGGGTCGGGGTCCTCGATGGGGTCGGCCCACTCCACCGTCACCAGGTTGCTCCAGACCTTGACCTTGCCGCTCATCAGCCGGCGACGCGCCTGAGCAGCGGTTTTGTGGTCTTCGTATTCCAGGAAGCAGAAGCCTCGGTTTTTCTTCTTGTCGTCGGGTTGGTGGTACAGTATGACATCACTGAGCCCCTCTGCGGAACCACAGGAGACCCAGAGGAGGGGTTGGGTTAAAGCCATGGGGGAGGGGGGAGGCAGCAGACGAGAAGGAGAGCTTTACCTGTGACTTTAGAAAACTCTTCCACTATCTGCTCCTTGGTTTTACTCTTGGGAATTGAACCGACAAACAGCCTGTTGTTGGCCACAGAGATGCACACGCCGATGTGTTTGCCGGGCCGGATCTCATAGTTGTTGCACTGAAAAACAGAAAACAGCTTTCAGAACCGATCCAAGCCCTGCGTGGATCCTGAGATGATGTCATTTCCCCCTCAGACCCACCAGCTTCACCGCCTCCTGGGCGGAGTCCTTGGCGCAGAACGTGACGAAGGCGTAGCCCCGGTTCAGGCTGCTCAGAGGATCCATCATCAGGCGCAGGTCCCAGATCGGCCCGGCTTTCTCAAAGAGAGGAACCAGCTCGTCTTCGAACAAGTCCCGCGGGATCTTCCCGACAAAAATCTGCAGAGAGAAGGAGCAACGTTCCGAAAACTGTCGGTGGAATCACAGGAAGGACGGCTTCTCTGACGTTAGCAAATACACCAGGCTTTTATTTTGAAAGGCGGCGATGTGAAACAGCAGCTGGGTGGGGAGAGGATTTTCATCCATTATTGTTGCAAGCAGAGAAAACAATTAGTCAAAAAATCAGTAAATTAAAATTGAAACAAAAAGCTATTTAGAAATGAAACTTCAGTTACTTTGCTGTTTTCTCAGCTTGTGTTGTTTCAAGTTTATTTTTCAAATTTTAATGAAACCTTTTTCAACAGGTTTTACATGTTTAATTTTTTAAGAAATATTTTTATTTACAGATGTTTTATTTCTGTTTTTCAGATTAAGTTTTAAATCTGCATTCTTTCCAAAAAGTTTTTTTGTTTTCTTCTGAAGCAAAGATGCATTTCTGTTGGTCTGCAGGACGCTAGCAGCAGCGTTTTGATTGGCCGAGAGTCCGTTTCTATCTCTGGCTGTAAGTGAAGAGAATCTGATGTAGAAAAGTTTGAAAAGAATGCTAATTAATTTAAAACTAAAATTTGAATTTGAAAATTTGTTTTGAATAAATAAAACCTGCAAAAAATAGTTTAAAAAAAAACAAAATCTGTACAAAAAATGTTTTGAAAAAAATAAACTAAATTTGAAATATTTAAATATGAAAAATAAACTTGAATGTTTTTTTTACTCTCCAACCCTTTTAGCAACAGTAAAGGAAGCGAGTTCCTCCGGTTGGGCCCCGGTACCTCAGTGCCCACGGGGGGCTGCGGTCCTGAGTACACGGACTCCGGCGGCGGGCCGCCGTACTTCCGCTGACCCGTTGTTACGTCCAGAGTGTAGGTGGTTCTTTCCAGCAGCTCTTTGATCTTGGCCTCGTCAGGTCCTTTAGTGGCAGGAGACACCTTGGTCCCCTGCTTCTCTCGCTGCCTGTAGGTCTTCATCACCCCACAGAGGAAGGCACTTTTATTCTGGGACGGACAGAGGAGACAGAGGAGACAGAGGTCCCAGGCTGCTCTCTGAAAACATCTGCAGAAGCTCCGCCTCTCGGAGGAGGGAACTCACCTGAACGTGGGACAGATCACTTTCCTTGAACTGGACCAGCACCTGCAGGGCCCCATCTTCATTAAACTCCTTCAAAGCTTCAAGGGCCCTTTCATCGAGGTCGCTGTGAGCCACCAGGCCTGCAGGAGGACGAGCAGAGAGTAAAATAACTGCTTTTCAACCACTAAACAGATCAGCCGGCAGCCATGACGGAAACGCCGTTAACCATTTAACGGTTTACAGATAACAGGCCGGAATATAGTATTATTATTTTTCAGTGAATGAAGTAGTAATAGGAATAGGTGGAGTACAACTTTTCTACTTCTGTAATTTGTTGTTTCTCAAATAAATGCCTAACGATATTACAGCTTTCATTGATTTATTTCAATTTGAAACATTGTCTAGCCTGTAAGGTTAAAAAAAAATGAACCAATTAATCAAATCGAATCGTTGGGTCAGGAAATCGAATCGCCATGATGGATGTGATTTACACCCCTATATCCTACAGAAGCGGCTAACACAGGTTTGGGCTTACCTGCTATATATAGATCATCTAGTTTCTCAGCGACGCTCTGAGACAAACCAGCGTCCAACAGAGCCTGGAAATGTTCTGATCGGGTCACTGCAGCTGATGTTTCCATGGGCTCCTCGGTGCCGTTCCCGTTCACCTGGTCCTGATCCGCCTCCATGTCTGCAGACATCTGAGAACAGAGTTTGAAGGTGTCATTAAATGGACCTCCCTTCTTAGAGTGAAGGTTGGAATGGTTAGGCTCAGTCTGACTGGGACTGGATCGGTTTAAATGGATGGTAAAATGGTAAAGATCAATAGTAAAACGCTGAGCAGTTAAAGTTCGGTCTCCAACTCTCCCAGGACACCGGCTGCTCTTCTGGATCAGAACCAGGATCAGAACCCGGTTCCCCAGGTAACAGTCAAAGACTTAAACCGCTAACCTCCAGTTTACTACAGTGATTAAACCTTCAGCATCCATCGCTACCAAAGTTCTCTCTGAATCAGAATCTGGGTTCTGATGAGGCCCGTTTCAACCATTCAAATTACCTTTAAAGCTGGTTTATACACTGTTTATTAAGTTGCTATTTGTATTTTATTGCTCTGCTGTAATACTGGAAACTGAAACATGGTTTTTATATCTGGTCTAAACAGGAAACCATAATTTTTTATCAGAAGTAAATGTTTAAAACATTTAATTATCTTTCCTTACGCAATGAATTAAGAATTAACGGGATTCTCCTAAGTAGGGGCGTGTCATATGGAGTTAAAATATGATCACAATATTTCATTATCTGGAAAATAGACAAGAGAATATAAAATGTCCCCCAAAAAATAAAGAATTAAATAAGAAAAAAAACATTGATTCAAAAAGTTTACCAGAAAACCCTTTTTTCTTTCAAAAATATTTAGCCAAAATGGCTGCTGCACTGTGGCACAGTTTGTAGCTCTGCTGCCTTATGGCATGGAGGTTCTGGGTTCGATTCCTGGTCTTTCTGCATGGAGTTAGCATGTTCTCCCTGAGCATGTGTGGGTTCTCTCTGGGTACTCCAGCTTCCTCCCTCAGTCCAAAAACATGACTGTTAGGTTAACCGTCTCCTCTAAATCCTCCTTAGGTGATTGTTTGTCCCGTGTTGCACTGCGGTGGACTGGAGCCTGTCCAGTCATCCATAGACCGCCATTTTATTTCCATCCATCCTCTTTCATTTCTTCCTCTTTATCCAGGGCTGGGTCATGGAGGCAGCAGTCTAAGCAGAGATGCCCAGACTTCCTGATCCACACCCAGCTCCTCCAGCTGCTCTGGGGGAGGCGACACCAGCGTGTCCTGGTCCTTCCACCAGGCCTCCTCCCAATGGGACATGCCTGGAACGCCTCCAGAGGGAGGCGACCAGGAAGCATCTGGAGCAGATGCCAGAGCCTCCTCAGCTGGCTCCTTTCAACGTGGAGGAGCAACCACTCTACTCTGATCTCCTCCCGGGTAACTGAGCTCCTCAGCCCATCTGGAAGGGTGAACCCAGCCACCCTGTGAAGGAAACTCATTTCAGCCGCTAATATTCGTGATCTTGTCCTTTGGGTGATTACCCAGATATCATGACCATAGGTGAGGGTGGGAACGTAGATCCATCGGTAAATCCAAAGCTCTGGACCTGAGCAGAACCTTTATTCTCACAATATTACGACATCATCCTTCTAATTTTACGACTTTATTCTCATAATATTACGACGTTATTCTCGTAATATTATGACTTTATTCTCGTAATATTACGACTTTATTCTCATAATTTTCCGACTTTATTCTTGTATTATTACGACTTTATTCTCGTAGTATTACGACTTTATTCTCATAGTATTACGACATCATCCTTATAATATTACGACTTTATTCTCGTAATATATTTTCATAATTTTACGACTTTATTCTCGTATTATTACGACTTTATTCTCGTAGTATTACGACTTTATTCTCGTAATATTACAACTTTATTCTCATAATTTTACGACTTTATTCTCGTAATAAAATAAATAAATAAATCTCTAGCCTGGCCCTAATACTCCATCGTATGACTGAGTTAATACCAGATCCAGCATTATTATTGTTGCTGAGCATCTTCTGCAGGCTAACATTGTGCCATCAGGATCTAGGTGGTTTATATCTGTGATCATGTATCGTTGAACGGTGGCCAATCAGAGAGCCCGGTCAGAGCCCTGCTCCTGATAAACACACAGCGGTGCTTGGCGCCATCCTCCTGATCTTTAACGGGGCTGCTCCGCCATCACTGCGGTTCTCTGAACTCCAACACTTCCCCGCCAGCAGGGAGCGGCGCTCTAAGCAGTTCTATGTCTTTAGAGGATCAACAGAGAGCCATAAAAGCCTGCAGCTTTAACCCCTCACACACAATATGCTCTGTTAGCCCGAAGTTAGCAAGCAGCACAGGGTCCTACAGGCCGCGGTGTTAGCTTAGCACAGGCTAAGACCAGCAGAAGCATCTTTATTTCTTCCTTATGACCTCATAGCGAGCCTGATCACTAAAGGTGTTTTCTTGGAGGCTCGTGTAGCGCTGCACCGCTCCGTGTCCCCCCCTCAACATGCCGGCTAGCTGAGCAGCAGATGCCGGCCGGAGCGAACATCAACCACCAGCGGCAGCTCACATAAACACCCCCCCAAAAAACAGCTTATCCTCATACATACCATCCGGGGCTAACGGTGGCTGCACGGTGCTGATCCGTTCGGGTTGCGGGGGTCCCTAGTGAGGGGGGTGGCGGACGCCGGTGAGGTGCACTTTGGTTTCTTTTTGCACCCGAGGTGAGAAAATGGCGACTAGGTAAAGTCCCGAGGTCCTCTTCTTCCCTTTTAGAGAAACAGGGTTTCTGAGGGGGGGATTCAGGGGCTGCTCCGGTTTCATTCATCTGGGTTTCAGCGGGAAACGGAGGCTAGCCTTTAGCCTAGCAGCTCTCTGCCTTATTACACAGCAGTACAGCACCTTCACACCTTAATAACGCTAAAACAGCCAGAACGCTGCGGTAATAACGGTATAATAGCCAAAGAGCCTGAAACACTACTAGAATATTCCTCATCAGGGGTGGATTCAGGAAATTTGGGGCCCTAGGCAAAGACAGGCAGGGGGCCCTCTGAA